AGAGAGAGAGAGAGAGAGAGAGAGAGATGTAAAATATTTTCATAATTTTTAGACTAGATAAGTTTATATTCAGGCATACTTGCAAAATTCGTTAAGCTCTTGATCATTGCCTGGAAATTTATATTCAGTCGAACCAACAAAATTGACTATATTTTTCATTTTGGTGTCCAATTGGCTAATATTATATTAAATATACCAAATTTTAATTTTAGGATAACAATAAAAATCCGACACAGCATTAATAGTACGGTTTAGCTATATTTATTATAAAATATAAATTGATATTCAGCCACCTCATTCGGCACCCCTTTTCCAGCGAGTTGTACGAATGTGGTAATGAAAATACCATCAAACATATTACAAAATTAGTTAGCAACCTCATTGTTTTAATAGAATTAGTCAAATGAACAAGTTAATATAATATAATATAACAACTTTATGCATATACACGGCAAACACCAATAAACTTAGTGAATTACAAAAATAGCTAAATTGGTTAAAAAGCAAACAATGTTAAACACTAACAATTAATTCAACTAAAATTCAATGAACATTGTAAATTATATAAAACTTGTTTTGAAAAATGTAGATGATTTTTAATTACCATGTAATTAATTTGTTATTTTTGTAAATTCCGTCATTGTTTAAAAATTTTTTAATTATTAATAAAAACACATCAAGGTTAATTTATTTTACAAAAATCAATTTTATACAGAATTAATTAAACACGTTGTTTCAAATACGTATGTTGTGTAAAATACATGATTTAATATGACTAAATAAAGTAAATGATGCACAAATTTAAATTAAGTTACTTGACAATTAAATACATAAAATTATAAACATGTAAAAACAAGCACAAAATATTGATTTTTGAGAAAATGAGTTAATGTACTGAATGTGAAATATCTAATATTGCGGGAAAATGTGTTGAGTAGTGACCTTTATTGCTACCACTAGTAGAGTGACCAGTAGACTTAGGTAGTAATTTCCGAATAGACCGACAGTTAACGGTGCGATTGTGATCACTGCAGTGAAACACAATATTCAAGGGGTCGACAGTTGAGCGGTGAATAAAATTGTCAAATTCATCAATCATAGTCTTGGGGCACACTTTGTCGCTGATATTACGGTACACGCCGTGAGAGCATTTGATCCAATCATCTATGGAGCTATTGACAAACAAAAAAAATTGACCATGGTATAAATTTAGCAATTTCATAATCAAGCTAAAAATATTTTTAAAAAATAATGTAGCTTGAGCAAAAGGAATAAGCCGTAAACAGACAATCCAATATATAAAATTAAAAATTTAACATAACAACACAAAATATAATTAATTATTTCTATACAGTATGTAAACAATTATATGTATACCAACACAAAGCGGACACACGTTTAGCGTCATCGGTAACGTTGCGGACCAGCGACAGTCTGTGCGTCCAACTCGTATAGCACTTTGCTGTACCAACTTTACCACTATTACCGCATTTAGAACGTGCTAAAAATCGTTCCATTTCTGCGTCACTTTTACACGACATTTTGACATTCATTTTCTCGATGCCGTCCACCGAAAAACGTAATAACGAGGCCGACAGCCCGTGGTAACACTGGCGCACATGGTCTTTGGCACGGTGCACGCGCTGGTATTTGTACCTAGTTAAAAATTTACAATTATTGCATATTATGCATTAGTTTTATATTAATATACTGTATTTGTATACATCTTGGAACGCAATTATACTGTATTTTAAATTATTCTTGGTTAGTTAAATCTAATATAACATGTAAAATTTATTTATATATTATAGTTAATAATAAAATAAACTCAAATACTTAATTTAATGCTAATTGATTGTCGGAGTTACCAATTTATATCAATTCTACCTTAAAAGTTAAAATATTATTAAACGTACAATATTGTTTACAGCTTGAAATCAGATGTTTAATATCCATATATTTATGAATAATGTACTATTGTAAATTATAATTATTAATTTACCCATATTAGTAATTGTGTAGTTAGTAATGTGACATTACCTGCAAAATTCATGTTTTTGGTCAGCAGTTTCTGGCCATTTGCTATTTTTGTCGGCAATAATTTTGGTTAATGGTTTCATCACGCTATCTAGATTACTTGATTTAAAATAATATGTTTTATATAAATAAAATATTAATTTTTAAACACGTTTATAAGAATTAATTACCTAAGTTTGCAATTATTTTTAGCACATTGAACAATGTATACACCCATAAACAAAATTAGCGAGGTTTTAATATGTAACATTATGATGAACTAAAATTTTTATACAAAACATTATTATATGTATAAAATTTTGTGGAAAAATCTCAAAAACACATTGAATTTCACAAAAGAGTTTAAATAGTTATCAAAAACAGGTTTGTGTTTATAATTAATGATTTGTTGGGAAAAATCCGCGTAATTATAGAAAAATATTTTTCATTAATAGTTTGCGATATTTTTTATGACACTTTTTTCTCAGCGAAAGGTATTTCAGTGTTAAGTAATTTTAAAATTTTTAATAATTCGCTAAAACTTACATAATGTAAACAAAAAATATATTTCAATATATTGAAAAAATACATGTTAATTAAAATAACAAATATTTATTAAAATTATTAATTAAAATAATTATGATAGTGAATTAGAATAGTATTTGTTCCAAATTAACTAACAAAAATACCTAAATATATCATCATAATCTTAAATATAAACATGATTTATCTGTTTATATATTGAAATACATGTTTATTGGAAAATCCATGTTTTATACAATACTTAATAAGTAATTAAGTATCAGTTGGTAATTACTTAACATGTGAATTTAAGAAGCATTAAATATTTTACGTACTCAAACAATTTATTCAAGGATATCGGGGCTGGATATTAATATTTAATACGTAACATATTAATATTATACGTTGAATGGCAATAGTTGTAGCTATAATAAGGCGCGTGATTTAATAACTACAATCATGAAAATCAAATGCTTGAATAGTGTATAAAATATTATTTTTGTAAAGACATTTTAAAAAAAATTATATGTTTTATTGGTATGTCTAGAAACAGTTAAACTTCATAAAAATAAAATAATTAAATAAGTTTATAAATATAAACTGGTTATATTATTAAATAAAAAATAAAATTAATTATAACTTTAATATTATAACTTTAATAATGAGTTATATCAAACACAATGAATTTTTAGTAACATTTATTAAATATAAAAATTAACAATTACTGTAAACTTTACATGTAATTCTACATACAAGATATGGATATTATAAAGTTATCACATTAAATTATATGAATATTAAATTAATTTTTAAACTAAATTATTATAAAACATACAAAATTATGTTATACTAAGTTAAATAACAAAACAAAATAAATATTCACTGGGTATTATCAATAAAAATATTACTATAAATGATAATTGATCACGATAAAAATTACCATATTAAAAAAAGCTGTTCCCAAGTGTATCAAAAACAGCTATGAGGCCGGGATAGGGGGTCTCATA